GAGAGTGAAGTCTGAAGGTGTAGGCTGTAAAGGACATCAGATGTCTGCCTGCATTGGCCTCAGCTCTGGGAACCAGGCCACTTGTCAGACAGCACCCCCAGGCCTCCCATGCTGCTTGGAGTTCTGGACTAGTGGACCTGGAACTTTAAAGGCTATTTCATCTCACCGTGCTGCTCTTGTCTGGTATATTCCTCTACTCCATTTAATCTCCTACTCTCCATGAATTTGCTTCCATTTTGTTGACAACACAGAAGCCACCAAAAGAGAATATTTTGGTCTCCACCACTCACGTGCTTACCCACCCGCAGCGGCACTTGTCTGTCTGTCTCCTGCTCTTCCTCCTCTTCCTGCTTCTCCTCTCCCTCCTCTTCCTTTCAGGTGGATTTTATACCCAGCCCCTCAACTTGGGCTCATTTCTTCAGCAAGTCTATGTTTTTTTTCTCACATCAGTGATTTCTCCTTCCTGGCTATTCCTAGAACCATTGTAACTTTTCCCAACGTAAAAACCGCTCATGATTTCCACTTCCTTCATATCTCCTTTGCTTCCCGTTGTCATAAAACTGGCAGAGCGGTCTGCTTATGTTTGTTCCAGTTCTTTCATAATCAGTTTCGGTCAGGCTTTGCCTCCAGACCTCCAGAACTCTATGCTTTGCCCTCTCCTCGCCTATGACTTTCCTCGGATGTCACCTTGTTAGTGAGGTGGCCTCACCCTCCTGGTGCTCCCTGTCCCCTCCTCCTGCACTGGTTGTCCTCTGACACTCTGTGGACTGACGTATTTATTATCTGTTTTCTTACTGGAGTGGAAACTCAGTGAGGCGGAACTCGGTTGTGTTCCTGCTGTGCTCTCAGTTCTTGGGAGAGCACCTGATGTCTGGCGGCCCACAGTGCGCACTTGCTGAATGACAGAGTTCTGGTCGGCCCCGTCAGATTCCCTTGTCATTTGATCTCTCTGGCTTTGACCTCTTATTTCACAGTGTTTCTGGCCAGTGACTTCTCCCATTGCTCTTCCAGCCTCTGGGACTTCCTTTTCATTGTAGACAACGTCCTGACTTCTTCTGTTTACATTTCTGCACCAATAACTGCTGCTCCTTTCTGACCGTCTCCCACACTGGGGAGGCTTAGGGAGGAGGTGGTGATGGTGGTACCTTCTCTTACCTGCCAGGGTTCCTGTGGGCTCCCAGCAGCAGGCTGTCCTGGGTGTTCCTGACGGCTCCTTTGAATCACTGTCCGCATGTAACGGGAGGACTTTGACAGGAGGCTCATAGTGGTCCTCTCCTCCTCAGTTTGTCATTCCCTAGGTTATTAAACTGAGGTTATTAAATAAGGCATGTGGTCCGCCGGCCGCGAGTTTGACATGCTTGCTATACAGTGTATGTCCATCACGCAGGTCCAAGGTCGCTCTCAGTTACACACTACCAACTGTTGCTTAGAAATCCACCTATGGGTGCTCCCTAGCTTCATCATCACCTGAGTGCTCTGATTTGAGAGTCTTGAGTCCTTTACTGTAGTCCCTGCACTGATGAGCCTTCTTTCCAGCATACCTGGTCTTTGACTGTGACAAAATCTGTTTCTGGACCCATCCCTGTGGCCTGTCATGCCCCAGATCTGATAGAAATGAAATGGAATTTAATATTAAAGCCTTGTTTAACTGCTGTTTATTTTGATATGTGGTATGCTTATCTAATAATGTCACATTAATTAGTGATGCCTCTGTGTGTATAACATGTTATGCGATTTTCATACAATAGACTGTTGTATTGATTTCTCTGGTGCTGCCAGTACACTTTTTCTATGTGACCGGAGCTTCATGTTATGTTTAAACATGTGTGTGTGTGGGTGTGGGGGGGGGGGCACTGGTAGCCTCTACCTGACTTTATTTTCAGAGTGTTGTCAGTGATGTCCTGGTTTTATATATTCACATGATTTTGAAAACAATTTGGTCAAGTTATGAAAAGAAAATTCTCCACTGAAAATGGTATTAAAACTAGTTCATGTAAATTAATATTTCATCTAAACTTAGTATTAGCAAAATAATTAAAATGTTCACTTTGTAATAAATCCTTTTTTTCTATAAATACCAAGGATGTATTGTCTATTATTTAAAAAAAGATATGCAAAAAATGTAAATGATGTGTTAAATTTGTTCTGTTTCAGATATGTTTCCTTCTCTTTGCCATTCTTTACATCGTTTCCTATTTCATCATCACAAGATACAAGAGGAAATCAGGCAAGTAAAACATGTACTGGAAACTTTGATTTTCATGCTCGGTGGTCTAGGCCTGATGGAAGGGCTCCACAGTGCCTGTCCGTGTGGCACTGTATTCACTCACCGTGCCCGTGCTGAAGCAAGCAGTTGCCTGGGACTAAGAGCACTAAAAATAACCGCCAGGGAACCTGACTACCGCAGGGTCGTCCTCTTAGGCCTTAGCCCTTGTTTGTCACATTCTTAGGGCCCAGCTAAGAATAGTGCAGCCCTTTCGTACACTGGAAATTCCCACGTTTGTGGGGATATTTGATTCCTGTGACTGGCTCTGAATTTGAACACGCTCAGCCCCATCCCATTGTTGCTCTAAGTACCAGAATACTTTTCTTTCTCTAAAGCAGGGGTGGGGAACCTTTTTTCTGCCAAGGGCCTTTTGGATTATAACATTTGCGGGCCATACAGAATTATCAACTTAAAAATTAACCTGCTATATTGGTCAGACATTTAATTAACTCACTCCGAATGCCTTGTCAGGGCCACACTGAATGATTTCGTTGGCCTTATATGGCCTGAGCGCCTGACGTGCCCCCTGCCCCCAAAGTGATACAGAATGTATTCCTAACACCATATATCCTTTTAGTATTTCATATATAGGGTGTCCCAAAAAATGTATACACACTTTGAATGATTATAAAGTCAGTGTTTATTAGCATAGAGTTCATTTTAAAATTTAAAAGAATCTATAGAAATGAATAATTTTTTTTTTTTTTTTGTCAATACCTGTTTCCAAACTGATGACCGTTCTGGTCTAGGCTCTGCTGATAATGCGAAGCAATGGAATTGCAACATCAAGAATCATTTCATTGGGTATTTGTGTGTCCTCAATTCGTTAACTGTTGCTGGTTTTGTACTGTAAACCTTATCTTTTATGTATCTCCACACAAAGTCTAGTGGATACATTTTCTTTGTTCAAAGCTTAGTTGGCTTCACATATTTCAAATCAGTTAAACCTGAAAAGGAGTGGAAATTGAGTTATCAGCTGTTAAAGTGTGTATACATAATATACACTTTGAATAATTATAAAGGCAGTCTTGTACTTCAACTGCATTTTTAAACTTCCAGGAGCATTTAGGATGAATTTTCTTTGTTCAAAGCTTAGTCTGGCTGAAAAGAAAGAAACATCAATTGAGCCAGCAGCTGTTAGAGTGTGTGTACATGTTTTGGGACATGCTGTCTATCCTGTCTCGCCAGAGGGACCGCTATATCTTTATTCTTTTTTAAAAGAACTTTTTGCTGTTTAATAATTCACAGATTTTTGTGCCAGGGTTTTATAAGCACCTAAGCAGTTACCTTACTGCCTTCTGTTAATTCTCAGCTGTTTTCCAGAAATGATAGGATTTTCTGTCTGTGATGTTGTGCTAATACTAGTGCTGTATGAATACTTGGGGATTCCCTATATTAAAGATTCCTTGCATTATGTTAGCCTATCACACTTGTCTGTCAGACATCTGAAAGCAGTCAGGGACCACTCTTTGCTCTGAGATGTTACTTTAGAACTTGGCTCTGTGACGGCACTGACAGACTCCTGGGATTCCATAATCTCTCAACATTTTGCAGACCTGGGATCCAAGACAGTATCTTAGCTAGTTTAAAAGATGTTTTGACATCAGATTTCATAGATTATGGACACAGAAGTAGAGTGGGGGAGAAAGAGAGAGAGAGAGGGTCGGGGGAGGCAGGCGATTTTAATGAATGAATATAAAGCAGTGTTTTAGAGGAAATTAGGGATGATGAGCAGGAAAAGTGGAGGTTTATTAGATGCTTTTTTTGAGTAATCAAGGGGAGGAGGTGATGAGGACTCTGGACCTAGTTGGCGGAGTGTTGAGATATAATTGACAAAAAGCATTTTTTAAGGGTTGATGGTTGATTGGAGAGGGCACCACAGTATAAAAGTCAGTTGTGACTACATTATTTTGTGGTCCCTTTGGTTGTAAAGCTATTTAGAGCAGCCTGTAATTCGGAATGGAGATTGGACTTTGAGAATGGCCCAAGTGGGCCATTGGCAGGGAAGCAGGTGGGCACTCAGAATTGCAGAGGCCTGCAGAGAGCCTTTGAGGACAAGCCCCGTTAGGCACTGGGGGGGACAGGGGCTGGGTGTTGTGCAGTGTCCTTGTAATTGGGTCAAAGTTTCTTGGTAAGTTTACATGGGAGGACAGGGGAGATGGCTGGCAGCCGTGATGGGGGCTGAGTGAGCACCGGCAAAGCGGACATATTGTATGTACCTTGGACAGTCATGGTGAAGTGTGGTGCAGTGGGACCCCAGCTGGGTTAGGGTGGCCTCCTGCCAGTGACAAACTCAAATTCTAGGAAAGTACATGAGTCCTGAGATTCTGAATTTTAATTTTATGGCAGACATTTTTTTTTTGGCTATTAACCAGAAAATCTCATTCATTAGCAACTTCACTTATGTTTTATAAGAGTAAGCGTGATAGTGGTCTTAAGGGCCTACTAAGCTTCATTTTCTTGAGCACTGAATGTTTGGGATATTTTAATTACATGTGGCTATTTTGTTAATAAGGATTTTGATTAATTAAAACACTATTCTTTTAATCATATTCTCTTCTATCTCATTTAATGAAATTTAAATTTGGATCTGTGCTGAAATAAACACAGTGCTGTTTAAAAAATGTTTCCATTCAATAATTGCTGCTTTAAATTTATATGTTTGTTTGTTTTTCATAATGAATGAAACATCTAGTTGGAAGAGAAAGTAATGTTAATACCTTAAACATTTTTGCAGATGAACAAGAAGATGAAGATGCCATAGTCAACAGGATTTCGTATGTATTTTAAAGTTTAATTGTTTTGTTTATAATTCTGGAGTCATAAATTCTCAAAATTTAATTCTACCTTTTGGGCAGAAATATGGAAGAAATTTACGTAAGGTATTACAACACTTTCATCAATATTAATCCTATCCTCAGAAAACACACATAGGCAAGTATGCATGAATAATGAAGGATTGATTATCTCCTGTTAAATTAGCTTATTTAAGGAGCTGATAGATTTTTTTTTGTTAATCCTCACCCAAGGATATATATTTTTTTCCACTGATTTTTAGCTGAAGGGAGGGAGGGAGGGAGACAGAGACACATGGATTGGTTGCCTCCCTCACATGCCCCAACTGGGATCGAACCTGGGGACCCTTCAGTTCTCAGGCCGACACTCCAACCACTGAGCAAGCCAGCCAGGTAGGGCAAACCGACAGGTTTTAATTTCAGAAGATTTAGCCTGGAAATGGGCTTCAGGTTGGGAAAGTTGCTGGGCCATTAAGAAAGCACGCTCCCGGCTTCTGAATGGTCTGCTGAGCAGCCTGGACGGGTCTAGAGGAGGAGCGCCATCTGTCTGGTTACAGACCTATGAGCAGGGCCATCTGTCTGGTTACAGACCTATGAGCAGGGCGGTAGTCCTTTCAGGGCCCAGAGCTCTTCTGCTATGGATGCTGTGATACAGGATAGAAATACCCTTTAATTTTTCTGAGGAATCAAACTACTCTAGGTGGAAAGCAGTGAATTCTTTTCTATCAGGTTTGCTCAATGAAACTGAAATTCCACAGCTTTGCCTACTACATAGGAGACATCTGTTTTTTGATTGTTTTCATTGCTACTTTAAAAATGTTTTGAAGTAGTCACAAAGTTGCAGGAAAGTTAGAAATACAGTACAGACTTTTGTTCCCTGAGCCCTTGGAGAAGTTGCTGACCGGATGCTCCATTTCTGCAGGATACTTTTGTATCTAATTCCTATAAACAGTGAATTGTCCTGCAAGTCCACCATACAGCCACCAGCATCACGAAGTTGGCATTGACACAGTTCCAGCTGTGCTGCGTTCCAGTTTGCTGTTGTCCCCGTGATGTCCCTGGTTAAGAACCCCACACTGCAGGGAGCAGCTGTGGCCCTGTGGTCGCCCGCAGACGAAACTTGACTTCAGTATTTCCTTTGACTCCCTGACCTTGTCAACACATTTGTACATTTCAGGCCGGTCATGTGGTTTGTATGTTGTCCCTTCATGGTTAGTGTCAGATTACCCAGCTTCTGCTGAGGTGCTGGGGAGGAGGAGAGGAGAGGGGAGGGAGACAGACAGCATGTTCTCTCTCTCTCTCTCTCTCTCTCTCTCTCTCTCTCTCTCACACACACACACGCGCGCGCATGCACACGCTTCCCCCTACACAGGAGCGTTACTCGGCCATGAAGAGGAATGCAGACACCTGTTACCACATGCATGAACCCCTAAGACATGATGCTGGGTGAGATGAGCCAGTCACCAAAGGTCACCAGTGTTGATTCCATTTATGAGAAACGTCCAGAATAGGTAAATTCAGCAAAAGCAGATTGGCGGTTACTAGTGGCTGAGAGGAGGAGAATGGAGAGAAACTGCTTAGTGGGTTTGGGGTTTTACTTTGGGGTGGCGAGAATGTTCTGGTTGCACAACACTGGTAATGTTCTACATCAAAGTGGTTGATTTTACTCAATAAGGCAATGCTTTCAACTAACAAAGGATTTGATTTATTACTGAAAAATGAGTGTGGACGGATCCTGCTGCACTGGATTTGGATTTAAATTATTTGAACACCCAGGGAAAGCAGCTGTGACTCCATCCTGGGTGTTCTCTATGTGGCTTTATACTTAGGCCCAAAACGTGATGCTTTAAATATGCAGGATTAGGGATCTTAGGTTTCAGTCCCAGCACCATGACATTTGGGAACATTCTCTGTTCCTGTTCCTGCTCCCGTAAAAACACAATAACACACTCACTTCAGAAAGCCACAGAGGGTCCCACACTGGCTGTCTGGTGGACAGGAACTGTGTCCAGCGAAACCTTCCAGGTTGAAGTACTGAGGTTGCGCCTCTCTCCTCTGCGTGGTCTCTGTTCCACTTTCGTGGTACAATTACTGAAATGCATTTGTGGATCAATAATTTATGAATCGATTAGTGCCGGTCATTTGACCATTCCTCTTGCAGTATAATTTAGGAAAATATGCTGTTTCCTGGTGGCAAGGCTCTGGAGGGGCCCCGCCCCTCAACCTGATTTGGCCAGGCGGCGCGGTGTGTCCGAGTGTCATGTGATGACACGGGCACCTTCCTGAGGGAGATGCTGTGCACCCACTGCAGAGTCAGGAGGCAGCCTGGAGGGGGAGGCACCCAGTCCAACCACTGGACCCCTCACCCAGGGCTCTTTCTGTCGCTCACTGCCTGTTCTTCCTTCTGTGATGGGATGAGTGAGAACTAGCCCTGGGTTCAAATTCTGAACCCGGATTCATTTGAGTCCAGGCAAGATGGAGAGGCTGAGACTTGTGTTTGGCACGTGAGCTGGGCGTGCGCCTGCTGTGTGGTGCTGCTGTGCGGATAAACAGCACAGGCACAAGCAGGGTTCGGGCTTCTGCACGGTGGCCGTGGTCTCAGGGTCGTCCCCTGCGCCCTGACCCTCTTCCTGGCCTTCCTTCCTCCCACTGAAGGGAGCTGTGGGGCCACTGGAGAGGGTGAAACAGCAGAGGCTGAGCCTGAGCAGGAAATGTGAATGTGGCCAGCGTTCTGAGAGCTCTGCAGTGCGGTGCCTGCTAGCCGCCTACACAGAGAGGGCTCCAGGGTGACTCCAGCACTGCCCGCATGGAACCCCTCCAGAGCCCACTTTCATGTTCTCGTTTGCTCCTCAGGGCCTTCATTCTGCCCTCTGTCTGTCTCCTTGTGCCCCCAGATTAACTCCCTCTGCCCTCCCCAACCAGAATTACGCTTGCTCACAGCGACTCTCGGCTTGTCACTGGATTGGAATAGAAGTGGTTGATGTAAAATGCATGCCTAACTGGCGAAACAGCCTGTGCAGAGCATGCCGAGCCCACGCAGGTGAAGAGAGGGCCTCGCACGTGTCCCACCCTGGAGGGTGGCTGGAGTGGACTAAGGGTTTGAAAGCAGGGAGGAAAATTCCCTGCAGAGGGCGATCCTGGCATGGGGTATCACCTGAGGGTGAGGAGGGACACCACATGGTTTGGGGGTGCTGTACCACAGGGAGCCAGAGCCAGTGCAGGGTAGGGAGGGTGTCTGTGCAGGATGGCAGAGCCCTCGAGGCATGGCCTGGCATGGGTGTGACAGCTCAGGTGGGGGGGGCATAGGGCAGAAAGGTCTAAAATGGGGGGTCACCTGAGCAGCAGGCACCTCTGCATAGGATGGGTGTCAGTGTGATGGGAGACTGATCGCAGATGTGGGACTGGTCCATTAGAGATGACGGGAACCAGTCCCAGTCGGGGAGAGGAGGACAACGAAAGGGAACACTGAGTTGTCGCAGTGGAGTTGGGGGTATTACTGTGGCCTCATGGTTCTCAGTACAGAGAGTTACTGGGTCACTGCAGATGTGCGTGTGGGTGCGTGCATGTACACACAGCACCAGTGCATCCTGGGTTGGCCTGCCACTGGGCCCGGGAGCGCAGCCCCCAAGAGCAGCGAGTGCCTCTGAGTACAGCTTTCAGGACAGGAGCAGTGCCCCGGGAAGCACTGGCTGCAGGGCTTCCGTGTACCTTGTCCTGTGGGGCGCAGGGACGTGACAGAGGATGAGTGCGCATGTCAGAAAGACTCCGGCCTTCAAGGGCTTTCTCGCCAAACCAGGGACAGTCAGATCATCACAGTAATGGGTGTAACGGATCCTGCACAGATGAATTAGTGCCTGAGTGCCCATGGCTGTCACCAAAGGGATAGGTTGTTTGACCAGGAACAGGACATGTTCTTGGTTTCCTTAGCTTCCCACACAGTGCTTATGATGAAAGGGAGGAGTAGCTTTAGCTTGGAGGGTCCTGGCAGACACCACCTTGAGCAGTGATGAGAGGACGTGACCAGTATGGGACAGGCAGAGAGTCAAGGCCATTGGAGGGCCTGCCGTGAGAAGTCCAGAGATGGTTGTGACAGTCGTCTCATGGACATGGCGGCCTGCAAGTGTCACAGCTGAACTCCTTGTTCCTCCGCTGCAGCCTCCTCCATCGTGGCTGATTAGTGCGACTGTCCACATCCTCAGGCTAAAACCCAGGAGTGGTTCTTGACCCCTCTCTTCCCACACAGGTACTGCGGTTCTGTCCACAGAGCCCTCCGTGCAGAAGGGGCATTTCTTTCTTTTTTTTTTTTAAATTAAATCTTTATTGTTCAGATTATTACATTAGTTACTCCTTTTTCCCACCATAACTCCCCTCCACCCAGTTCCCACCCCACCCTCCGCCCTCACTCCCCCCCCACTGTCTTCATCCATAGATGCACGATT